ACATAGGGTCTGTTCTCTAAAAGGTGAATAATTTGTTTCTTTATAAATGCCTGATAAACTGGATGGTTAGGGAATTAAGGAGAAGACAGACAAGTAACAGGAAGACCTGCATCTTCCCTTAAATTTACAGCAGTCATTTACTTACAGGTAACTGGAGTATCATCTAATTGTGACTTATGTATCCATGAAGACAGCTATGTGTCAGTCCTCCTTACCCACTAACTCCTCTTCACAGCCGGGCTAAGACTCCTCAGGATCATCTCACTAAACAGCATAAGGCACGTGTGGAAACGGAGCCGTGACACAGGCTGGGGACAAGGAGCACGGTACTTTTCAGAGGAAGGCTGGTCATTAACACTCAAAGAGCACCATCCGCACTTTGGCAAAAGAAGATACAGGTGTTTAATGGGATTTGGTGTCAGATGGGCCGTGCTGTTTGTCATTTCCATTTCACAGTAGCCATCGAGCACACGGAGGCAGTTGCAGGGCTCTTCTTCTGGGTTCAGACCCAGGAAATGTTCCCTCTAGCCAGCGTCAAAACTACTGCCAGGGTTAGCTGATGTACACCACACCCCAGTCATTCTCTAATCCCTCTGTTGAAGGCTGGAAAAATCAGGGCCAAACACAGGTCTGACAACTTTTAACTCAATTTGAGGGTTTCCTCAGATTAGGGAGACCACAAGTTTTTATTTTCTTGCTATCCACCTATTGCAAAACCAATCAAGAAGGACAGAAAGGCCACAGAGAGATTTCTAATTTCTCTCCTCAATATATTCTCTTTCAAAACCAGGCTAATTCCCTTATAATAACAGAATTTTGGAGAAGGCATCACCCAGTATCCAATGACATTATCAAATCAGATAGGCTTTTTTGGGGAGGAATCAATTAGCATCTAGGAGTATCTCACCTATATATAAAAACAGAATCATAGAATCACAGATGGTTTGGGTTGGAAGGGACCTTAAAGACCATCTAGTTCCAACCGCCCTGCCATGGGCAGGGACACCTTCCACTAGACCAGGTTGCTCAAAGCCTCATCCAGCCTGGCCTTGAACACTTCCAGGGATGGGGCATCCACAGCTTCTCTGGGCAACCTGTTCCAGTGCCTCACCACCCTCTCCATGAAGATCTTTTTCCTGACATCTAATCTAAATCTCCTCGCTTTCAATTTAAACCCATTACCCCTTGTTCTATCATGTCCTATCATATCCTAAGTATACATAGCTACTTGATTCCAGCGCAGAAAAAAAATTACTCTCCAAATGTCTGTCCTCTCCACTTACTTTTCTCTTTCCTATCCTACTTACTATTAATGTAATTTCAGGCCTAGCTTATTATTTGTAGTGGGGTACCAGACACTACAGGCAAAAAACATGGTCCCTTTGCGATAGGGATTGTCACAAATATAAGCAGCTGAATTCTCTTCCAGCTCAATTACAAACTTCAGTTTTAAAAACATACTAGATAAGATGGACTGAGTGAGCAAAAGGTAACAATGTGGCTAACGCAACCACCAATGGTCACAACTGAATTTTATTCTGCATGGAAGGAACACATTCAAGGACATTAATTAATGCCTTATGGCCCTTGCCAGTACTATCTTTCTAATTAATAATCACAGTTGAAATTCCAAAGTATACCATACTCTAAACATGTGCTTTCTAAATTCTATGCCTCTCTATTAGGTCACCCTGCAGCAAGTAATTCTCAAAATAAAAGCACTTTGGAAATGTGTTCTTTAACAGCTGCTTGCTAGGACTCACCATAAGGAAGCTAAAAATCATTTGATATGGAGAAGGAAATGTCTCCCTCCTTTTCCAAAGGAAACTTTTTCCTTTTGCTTGTGTTGGTACCTGTTAACCGGAGAAATCAAAAAAACTATTTGAAATGCTCCAATCACATGAAAATTACTCTGAAGAAAGTTACTTTGTAGTAACTTCATATACCAGGGATCAATTCTGTTTTTCAATATTAGAAAGGAAAAAAAGCATGAAAAACTAAATACCTTCCATGACAAGTTACTACACCCTCTCAAAGGTTAAGACTTACCCAGTATCATATAAAGTTAAGTACCTCTGAATTAAAGCCTTTTCATTTCTCTTATGGCCTTCAGGTTCTCATGTAGCTTCCTGATCACTAATTTGTAAGTTCTCACACCTTCTTTGTTAGTCAAATTTGAGTCTCCTAGTCCTGCTTTTCTCACTCTGAAAAGCAACCCTCAGACAAAATGCCCCCAGACAGCAAACGTCTTTTACTAATGGAAACTTACCCCAACTCCTGCTTCTACACGGTTATTTTCAGCTTTCAGCTCTCCTTAAACTTTCTTTTTTACCTCTGCTACCTGCAATGGTTATTTTCAGCTTTCAGCTCCCCTTAAACTTTCTTCTTTTTTACCTCTGCTACCTGCAAAGTGTTTAGAACAGAAATTACGGCTTTACTAATATCTGGGAAGTAGTATGCAGAATTTTGGAACTGTTTACAAGTGAGTAATAGTACAGCTAAACTCAACCATCAGTTGAAAAGCCAAAGAATAAATTGGTTTGCTGCTTGTTGTGGACTTTTATTCCTGTCATTTGATTAGAAATACTTAATTAGTGCTAATTAAGGACTTTGAAGATTGGGTGAAAGTTATTTATAGAAAGTGCACATTTCTGCTAATACTTTAACAAGAGAAAGGTATGACTGTAACCCCAGACAGCACACTTAAAAGTAACCTAAATAAGGGGGAAAAAGTAATTTTTACCCTAACTGAGAACACGGGTACAGGTGAAGGCTGAAGCGGTTTGTACTGGGCAGCAGACATATCCTTAGGCAGTCCTGAATTTGCTGTTGGTTTAGAGCCTGAACTTGAAACACGTCTCACTCGATGTAAGTGGAAAGCAGCTCCTCGGGTGTCGCACATCTACCTTGGTACTGTCACTGACGTCTTTATCACACTGCTCTGCCTGGGTCCAGCCAGACTATCCTCAACCCAGCACCGTATCAAGGAAGAGATGAGGAGCCAAAATGGGTTTCTATCCTACTTCAGTACCTTTTGGTTATTAGATTAGCCCTTTAGTGGATAATCAGGTAAACACCCACAACTAAAACAGTAAATACAAGGCCATAAACTAAAGCAACCCTGAGGTTACTTTAAATAGCTGCGATCCCTGGGAAGCAACTGTGCTATCTCAGCTGTCTACAAATCAGCACCAGGGAGAAAGCGTTTCCCCTAATGATTTCTTCATTTCACCTGGTTGCTCATATAAAACTCGTTATCCGAGGCTTCGGCTCCCTGCTTCTGCCAGCGTTAAGGCTGATTTTTACAGCCATCACAGACCAAAGCAGACCTTCCTTATTAGGTGGTCTCTGCTATGTATTTCATCAGGTCATGAGTAGGTTATCCAATTTGAGAGAAGTAATTGATACTAAATAAAGCTACTGTATGCACTTTTAAAGTTCACTTCATTTCAAATCTCTCTTTCCCCTCCTGAACTCTAGTCCAGCAATTTTTAAGTGAACAAATTCTTAAAGACAACAATGGAAAGATATATTACTAAGCAATCTTTTGAAATAGGGATGAAAGTGTTTGTGATTGAGATAAATTCCTCTTCAAACCTAATTCGTATACTTTAAGCACAGATTTGGAGAATGCTGAGCCTAAAAAAACATTAGTCTACAAACTTCAGTCTGTGAATAATGATGCAAACCCAGTGAAGGTAGTTAATCTTTTTACTCTGTGCAGGAATGAAAATAGAAATGAGGTCCATCACGTACTGTACTGGATCCTATGTTACACAGCCCTCCAGTGTACCACACTAGGTAGAACTTTGGCACAATTCAAATTTTAGTTCTGTTTAAACAGAACTTTAACACAGGTTGGGAAGGCTATGAGCAACCTTATCTAAGCACATTTGGCTACTACGTGTATACGTGTCATGCACTTCCTATGATGTGAAGAACAAATTCTCCACAAGCTTTTCATAATATCCTGTGGCTCATAAATACCTTTAGACACTTCCCTTTTCAGTAGTATTTAGCGCTTGTCTTCGTAATATTTATTGGTGATTAAAAAAAAATTGTTTTCCTCTTTATCTCCTCTTTTTCCACAGTAAACACATTCAGCAATGTTTTGATAAAACTAAAGATCCTGCTGCTCTTATCAATCCCTA